TCTAACTATTAGTCATACAGTTGTTTCATTTAGAACATAGTTTAATATCTAACTGTTAGTCATACAGTTGTTTCATTTAGAACATAGTTTAATATCTAACTGTTAGTTATACAGTTGGTTCATTAAGAACATAGTTTAATATCTAACTGTTGTTTCATTTAGAACATTAGTCATGGTATTAAAGACTGTTTGGTTTAAATATTAGTAGTTAATTTATATTTGTGAGTGAATATTTTATTATTTCTAAGTTTTTTTTATAAGACTTAAAAGGAGACGATTGTTGAAGGTTTTGTTAATAACGAATTGGTGCCGACAATAAAGAAAGTGGCCAGACGACTATATAATAAAGATATAAATAGCGTTTAATAACTATCTGATGTCAAGAATATAGAAAGTGGCCAGACGACTATGTAATAAAGATATAAATAGCGAGAGACGAGCGGGAAGCAGCAGACAGACAGTAATAGACAGATAAAAGCAAAGATAATATAGTTGGTGTGGAGTTAAGTAACGTAAAAGTGATAGGCCTAACGACTGACATAGGCCTAACGTTTATCATGTTAGAGTGAAACTAACAGTATAAAAAAGATAAGAAGGATAATTAATATTCCGTTAAAGCTTGGTTCTAAAGTAATTGAATCAGCCTGGGTACACTCTGACAAAAGGAATAGAGGATCTTCAGAAGAAAGAAGACCAAACGAATTACGGTAAGTTGCGCCACAACTGTAAGTGAATCACACACAGAATACTAGTACGACAGTAATATAAAGAAGATAGTTCGACTTGTCAACTAAAATTCTAAAGTAACTGAATAGGCCTAAGTGGACTTTTGATAACAAGAAGAGAACTATATATAAATAGTGTTTAGGATATGCCTGTAATCTCTATAGTGTGAACACTTTATTGTACATACGTTTAACTTGTTCCGAATATATATATTATTTGAAAACAAATAAAGTGTGTTGTTTATTCATTGTTGAATTTATCGCTAACAAGTCACAGACACCTACTGTAGAAGAATCCTAAGCCTAACAACCACATAGTATATATTTACACTATTAAGAAATATAAGTAAAAGCCATTTATTTCGACAATTGGCAAAAAGAATATATATATATATATAATATTATCATTTTTTAAATATGACAACAGTTTCATATCTAACTGTTACTACGAAACAGAAAATAATTCAGTTGTTTTCAATTGTCTTCGTAATATTTTCTCTAGCGTATACTCTTCGTTCTAAGGAGAGTTTCATTTTTCACCTTTTTTTTTCTAATTACAGCACAGCTATAAAAAAATCTTATTCTCTACATTATGCAGTCAAATAAATATAAAACTAAATTATATTTGACAGTTTGAGCCCCCCCCCTCACACACACACACACACACTAATTATGACAACCCCTAACTAATGTTTCCACGGCAGTCATAAATACGACGCAACAGACGCGTCTGTGAGGCAAGATTATATATATAGTGCACGCGTTATGATAAATTCAAGCGCTTCACGTAATCCATCTGAACAGGTAGGCCACTTGGAGCGTGTAGGCCTAGCAGATGAAACCTATTTCTTGTCAAGTGTAACATGATCATTGAAGTAAATTAGGAGCTCGAATGAATGTTGTTTCTCGTCGTTTTAGTCAGCTGGCATCAGCCATATGCCCCCCGCCCTCTGTGGTTTTATATTAATATAGCAAGGGACATGGCTGTTTCATCTGATTCTCTTCTCAATTAACTTTTACGTACAATATATATATATATAATTATATATATATATATAATTACATATCTTAGTCAATGTTCTTACGTCATCAAAACCCATTAGAATAACGTTTATCCACTTCTACACATTCTAAAACTCCCTACACATTACAATGCCATTATTTTGTCTTTCCACATAATACCGCATGCGCCAGACTTTTTATACCCCGACTACTGTGTACGCACACATACCATCCCCTACCAGCGCTTACCGTCTCAGCCAAGGCGTCGGAGCGGACCTTCACCGAGGAGCTTCCAGCTACTTCTGAAACAGGCCGTTGTTACTAGCAACAACCAGATGTACTTTCATTTCATTCATTATCCAGCATTATAATCTGACGAGTGTACACGATCGCTATCACGAAGCCATGTTGAATGAGCACTTGTAGCCTTGTCTATTTCCCCGTCTTAAATCTATTTCAACTCGCACAAGCCCGACGAGCGCGCACTCTCCTCGCGCACCGCGAGTCTGCGCTGCGGGTGCACATCTACGTAGTCGATCATTTTACAACCTACTGCGTCTATGCGTATACTTGATATTTAAAGTCCACACACACACACACACACACACACACACACACACACACACACACATATATATATATATATATATATATAATAATAAGTAAATAAAATAAAGTAAGTAACTAACTAAACGTTTAACTTACACGACCTACAACATATACTAACTACTAGTTAACTAACTACAACTTAAACTAACGT